TTAATACAGCATTGTATGTTATTTAATAGTAAATGTTAAATAATAAAATATATAGTGTTGTTTAATATAGAGTAATCATATTATTTAACGAGTAATATTAATTAATGCATATAATGGCATATAATAATACCTTCAAAACTTCCTGATGTAATTGTATATTATATATTTATTATTACTTTAATTTCTCCCATGTATAATTAATTCTATAGTTTTTATTATTCTTTGGCTATGTATGATTGATAATTCTGCTTTTTCTATTTTAGTCCATGATTGTCCGATTGTTGTTACTTTTTTTTTAGATAAGTCTGGTTGCTGGAAGTATAGAGAGCCTGGTGGAATTAAGGATCTTGATTGAACATTGATTATTGAAGGTTGAAATAGAAGGTTATGGAAGTTTTGTCAAAAGCTTCAATAAAATCTTGTAATTCTTGCCAAGTTATTCAATGACAGCTGCGAGAATTTTATTATGTATATTTATCTTGATGTATCTTTAGGTTCTATCTGAGTGATTTCTCCTTTATAATAAAGCTTATCTGAGTAATTTTTTTATTATATCATATACAATACATATACACTATGCACTTGCAATTGCTTATATATACTCTTACTATTTCTACATACTCATACTATACTGAGCTCACATATCTCTAATATTATACATATACTCACACCTATCTTTCTCTATTATCACTTACTGTCCTGATTTAGACCGGCACTATCAATTTCTATTCGCTCTCTCACTGACAGTAACATATGGTGCCAATTGTGTAGACTTCGAATAATGTACTTCAGAGTCCAACTACAACAAAACCACTCACATAAATTTTAAAACCCTATACCATAACTATTTTGCATCATATTTTTATCCCTATACTATTCTACCAATCTTTAACTCCCTCTTTCTTCTCCACATGGATGACACAATGATCCATCAACTTAGTTGCTTGGTCTTCTTGTTGACAGAATATTATTAACTCATTTGAATTATAGACTAGTCGATTCAAACTTTTGATACTATTCAATATTCAACTTCTTTGACGCATAGACCTAAGTCTTGAAGAATTAAATCTGTAATCTGCTATAATTGCTGCCAGTATGAACATTATGTCTCTGAATGTATATTTCTATATATATCAAAGACTAGCCAAAGCTTGGGTTCCGAATTAACTGAACTTTCGTCCTCCTGAAAATTTTAAGAGATCTCTGAGAGCTCCGATAGTTATGAGCCTGATTTTGATTCATCAGATTCTTCATCTGAAGATTCTCAAAAAAGAAATTCTAAGAGAAGCTCTGGTAATTATGATTTCAACAAAGAAGTCTTGCGGATACAAGCTGGAGCTTCATTGTTATAATTAGAAGATAAAAGATACAAATCTGTCTAGGAGATTGCTTTCACTTGATAGATTGAAAAGAAGCCGCCTTCTATCATGCCGTCCAATTTATTAATTTAAAAAAAAAAATCTTTTTCTCTTTTTCAGAGACACGTTAAAGAACCTGAACAAGAATTTGGTTCTCACACTTACTTCTTGTACTTTAGATATGCAAGATGATGATTCCTTTTAGAGTATCTATATTGATTAATTTCGAAGCTAGGAAGATTTAATCATGTATTCTTCAAATACTAGGGCTAGAAGAGTTCTACTGTGTACTTCCTAGTATGAAATATTTTTTGAATTTTTTAAAGAAGACATGAAGCATTTAAATATTTTGAAAATTGGCTTGTGTTTGGGAAATTTTCTTTCTTCAATTCTAAAGAATTCTTGATGACATGTTTATCAGGTGCAAACCTCTTTAGGGCTATTAAAATAGTTCTGGGCCCTATTTGAAGAATTTTAAAATCTTGTTAAAGATATTATTATTTAATGTATTGAGTTAGTAGGCAATTCAAAACTGAAAAAAATCTTTGTATTTATTTATAAGAATTTTGTAAGAGCTTGAAATTTTAGAAGAGGAGTCTGTTACCCTCAAAATCATTCTGCATCTCATTTATTTATTATTTTTTATTTTGTTATTTTATTATTATTTTTATTATATATATTATATTTTCTTTAATTGTATATTATATATTTATTATTGCTTTAATTTTCTCTGTGTATAATTAATTCTATAGTTTTTATTATTCTTCGGCTATATATAATTGATAATTCTGCTTTTCCTATTTTAGTCCACGATTGTCTGATTGTTGTTACTTCCTTTTCAAATAAGTCTAGTTGCCAGAAGTATAGAGAGCCTGGTAGAATTAAGAATCTTGATTAAACATTGATCATTGAAGGTTGAGATGGAAGGTTATGAAAGTTTTGTCAAAAGCTTCAATAAAATCTTGTAATTCTTACAAATTGTTTAAAAACAGCTGTGAGAATTCTATCATGTATAAAAACCTAATGTATTCATCTTGATATACTTTTAGATTCTATCTGAGTGATTCCTTCTTTATAATAAAGCTTATTTGAGTGATTTCTTTTATTATATCGTATACAATATATATACACTGTGCACTTGCAATTGCTTATATATACTTTTACTATTTCTATATACTTATACTATACTGAGCTCACATACCTCTAATATTATATATTTACACCTATCTCTCCCTATTATTGCTTACTGTCCTGATTTAGACCAGCACTATCAATTTCTATTTGCTTTCCTGCTGACAATAACACCAGTTCGAATTTAGCTCTCCTGTGGTATCATTGAAAATCACTGTTATCTCCAAATTCAGGACTTTTTAAATAGGTTTTCAGTTATGCCAGTTCTTCAGATTTATTGCATCTAAGCTTCTATTACTAGATAGTGTAACCGAAGCTACAGATTTAATTCTAGATCCAACTAATAAGCATTGCTGTTAACTAAACACAGGTCTATTTTTCAAATATCATTGCTAGTAGGATTCAAACTCTAGACCTGCCACTTGGAGAGGGTGACGACTAAACCACTACACTAAGTCCCCACACCTCTATAAAAATTTATTAATTAAAATAAATTAAACATTTTATACATAAATAATTTCTTACTTCATTATCTGCATCTAAATAATCTTGATAATTGTAAACTGTTATACCATGTTTGTCACATAAATAATTAGAGAGATTTGATGTAGTACCTCCTTTATAGCTATAAGAATAAGATTTTTTATTTGCACCATGTTGTTTGTATACTTTACAATATGCTATTTCATTATTTTTAGGATCTTTGTTAAAAAAATAAGACTATAACTTTTATTAATTCTGTTTTTTGTATTTTTACCCAAATTGCTTTTGCATTTTTTATGTTTTTTTAAAGAGTTTGAGCCTGTAGAAGCAGATGTTTCTGCTTCCAAAATAGAAGCTTGCTTATTAACATCAAGGTTTGAAGGAAAAACAGAGGAAGAAGCCATTTTATATGCATATGTTTGTCTGTTTACTACATTTATTTAAACTAATATATTATTTAATAATATGATAATATAATTACATGAGCTATAAAGCTTAAAATTATTGCTCCCTATAAGAACATTAGTTTTTTGTGAAACTAATAAATATACAGTATCATGTGAATGTAACCCCAAAGTGATATTTATTGCTTCCTTTAAGAAAATTAGATCTCAATAAGAACATAAAGCCCAAAAATTTTTATTGCTTCCTTTAAGAAAATTAGATTACAACAAGGGTGTAAAAACCCAGGGACACTTGAAGAACAATGATCATCACATCACGTGAAATCATGCAATACGTCATTTGTTTACTAGCACTAAACAAATTAGCCTAAACTAACCTATCACCTAACCATAACACTAACCCTAACGTAGGCCGAACACTTAATCAGGTGATGTGATTATCACGAATATATCACTGGGGTACTTGTTCTTCAATCTTCCCAAAAGCCCAAATACAAATAAATTTTATTGCTTCCTTTAATAAAATTAGATCAAATGAAGGCGTAAAACCCAAATATGAATAAATTTTATTGCTTCCTTTAATAAAATTAGATCAAACAAAGGCGTAAAGCCCAAATATGAATAAATTTTATTGCTTCCTTTAATAAAATTAGTTCTTGTAAAGAACTAATAATATGTGCAAGGGTGTAAAGCCCCCAAAATAAATTGCTTTCCAAGAATGGACATTAATATGTAAGTACATATGTGCTAGCTCTAACAAGCATTTAATTTGTCGATTATGTGAGGGTTGCTGATTCGGCAAATTCGGATTTAAAATCGGATTTAATTCGAATTCGAAGGAAATCGGATTTAAATTCGAATGCCGAATCCGGTTCCAAACTCTAATTATATGTAAATTTTATGTTTTAATCATTAATCTACATGTTTGTATTTGTTATCGCGGTAGCACGTGAATTTACGTATCATTACCCGTGCCAAATAATTCGACTAGTAAACTGCCGCAAAACCCGAGCCATTTACGGTCCAACACGGTCACCGAATCCGTACCAACTCGGGCCATACCCGTACAAATCCGGATCTTGACCCGTGCCACAAAGGCCCGTGCCTATCCGAAACCAGCCCGTACCGATCCGATCGGTTGTTTACGTTACACCTGATCTTGAAATTTGATTAGTCAAAAATCACGGGAGGGAACAATTTTTGCTTTATGTGTATATGATATACAGTGCAAATGGTTATTTTATTTTAAATAGTTAGCGCTACTATTAATTATAACAAATTATAAATAAGCTAGAATTATGAATATCAGATTGTTAATTCTAGCACTTTACTATCCATTTCGATTATATTTATAAATGTAGAATAATAACCCGGATGTTTTGGTTCGACTAGTTCTGGTTCGACTAGTTCTGGTTTAACTTTATCACATTCAAAAATTTGATCTTTAATTTCGTTATCATCTTGATTTATTTCATCTAACCAATGGCCCACCTTGTTAACAATGATATCAGCAGATGGTCGTTTATTAGGATCATTATCCATGCATCTATTAGCTAATTTAACATAAAATTCTGGTATATGTGGAAATTTAGGTCTTTTTCCATTAATGATTTTAATTTGAAGGTTAATATCAAAGCGAGTTTCATCATCAAAAGCACATCTTCCGGTTGATAATTCTGTCATAATGATCCCAAGACTATAAATATCTGATGGTTTCGTATAAGGTAGACCTTGAAAAATTTCGGGTGCTATATAGGGCATAATTCCACAAATTTTTCCATCTTTTTTTCCTCCTGCAAGACCAAGATCAGTGACGTATGCATTATCTGATTCGATTTGCAGAATGTTTCCGGAGTGTAGATCACCGTGAATAAGTTCCTGAGAATGAATAGATTCGAGATCTGAAGCTATACAGTACAAAATGTTCAATTTATCTTTCCAATCCATCTTTGACACTTGCACAAGATTCTGACGTAATGATCCTTTCTTCGCGTATCTCATTACGATGATATAATCATCATTGTTTTTTGATACGCCAAAACATTGTAAAAAAGATGGATTCTCATAACCGATTTCACAATAATTTTTCAACTCGTTAACAAAGTCTTTAATTTTATCACTCGATCCATGAATCTCTTTAAGTGCAACATCTATCAAACTATTATTATTTTTATCAAGCCAACTTGCATGATATACTGTTGAAAAACCGCCTTTTCCAATCTTTTCTTTAACATTAAATTCACCATAATCGATCCAAGATAATTTATATTTATCATCATCTATTACTTCTACAAGGTCTGGATCGATACATGCATCAAGTGGTTGATTAGTTTTATTATTAGTTTTCGAATAATTTCTATATTTTCTATACCAATGATTTGCACTCTGAATATCTCTTCGTACTCCGATACCATTACGATAACAAAAAGCAACATTATTCATACCATTAACGTTACCCTTATCAGCAGATTTCTTAAAATATTCAAATGCTTTTTCATAATCTTTTTTTACTCCTTCCCCATTACGATAACATACACCAACACTACACATTGCACCAATATGACCCTTATCTGCAGATTTCTCATAATGGTTGAATGCTTCCTGATAATTTATTTCAACTCCAATTCCAAGATAATAACAAAAACCAACACTAAATATTGCATCAACATTTTTCATATCTGCGGCTTTTTTATAATATTCGAAGGCTTTCTTTTCATCTTTTTTAACTCCAATTCCACGTTCATAACAATAACCAACAAAACAAATAGCATCTACATTTCCTAATTCAGCATCTTTCATATTAGATTTAAAATCTTTCACATCTTTTTCAACTTTAGATTCCATGATGATAGTTGAAGCTTATTGGAATCCTTTTTTTTTTAAACATGAAAAGAACCGTCTGAAAAACAATACAGTATATGAATACAATACTCTTTAGTATTTATTAACACACAGACTGTACCACGTAGTAAAAAA